CTCTCTCTCTCTCTCTCTCTCTCTCTCTCTCTCTCTCTCTCTCTCTCTCTCTCTCTCTCTCTCTCTCTCTCTCTCTCTCTCCTCAATGCACTTGGCGCTCAAACCCTATCGTCTCTGGTGTCTCTCTCCCCCCTTACTAGTCCTAGCTTTGGCCCTTTGCACAGGTTACTCCACCAGTATGCATGACCAGTCGCATCGAACCGCCGCACAAACGTTCAGCAGCGCTTCCAGAACGTGCCAATTGACAAGTGAGTTGCTGAGGTACTGTAGGTGCATATACAACAGCCGCAATCGACATCGTTGTTGGCTCCAGAGCAGTAACGGTCTCCCCGGGCCTGTCGGCCGCAATTGTCCTGGTTCCAGAAGTCACTGGACCTCCCTTGGATGCTGCTGCTAAAATTAGACCGGTAATCCAGCGGGCTAGCTCAATTGGTTAGGCACGCAATCGGGATTCAGGAGGTCGTGGGTTCGATCCCTTCCGCCACCTGCGGTACGCTTGGTGCCAACCAGCTGAGATGGTCAGCTTGATCCCCCAACATGGGTGTGAGTGCGAGTGTGAGTGGGTTGTGTGTGGTGTGTGGGACAGTGTTGGCCTTAGACACTGCTGTTACTCGATGGGGGTGGAGAATGATGATGAAAAGGGAGGTGCAGCTATTGGCAAATGCTCGATCCTTATGTTAGCTGGGACCCCACCGAGGCAAGGGGCAAACATGCAACACCTCCCTCCACCAAGATATCTATTCTTGCAGGGATCCCCTGTACAGCCTTAGGAGCAGTGGTGGGTAGGTACTAGGTCGTGAAAAGATGAAAAGAATTTGAGAGAAGAATACAGGGTAGTTAAAAAAAAAAAAAAAAAAAAAAAAAGACTGGGACTTGGGCTTTTCCTGTCCGGTACCAGACCTACCGGACTTCTACAGACCTAAGGCCTGAATTGGCATTTCGGCGATTGGGCCCGCCGGCTCAGCTAGTACGTGGGACTGGGACCATGGGACTCTGTTGGGAACAGGACACGGGAGTGGACTGAGACGTGAAATCCGTTCATTTTTTCGTTTTTCTTCCTTTCTTTTTTTGCCATTCACTGGAGAAGAAGGTAAAGGCTGGGTGGGGATTCAGGCTAAACTACGCACAGCTGCGTTCTACGTGGCCTGTTGAAGGAACCGGTGGTCTTCACTTTGAATTGACCGACACACAAAAAAAAAAGACCGACCCGTCATTATAGTTGCCCCAAATACAGCTACATTGGCCAAGATCTGTTCGGCGGAAGACGGTAGTGGTGCCATCAGTTCGGTCCCGTTTCGCACGAACTCGCATGCACATTTGACCACTGCATAAGGAGGGGCCCACAATGTGACTACATACGGGCCCACGACGTGACTACATCTGGGCCCACGATGTAACTACATATTGGCCCAAGACCTGACTACATATGAGCCCAAGATGTGACTACATATGGGGCCACAACATGAGTAGATATGGGCCCAACATGAGTGGATATGGACCCAACACGAGTAGATATGGGCCTGCGATGTGACTACGCCTGGGTCAAACACACGACTACATATGGGCGTACCATGTGACTACATCTGGGCCCACGATGTAACTACAGCTGGCTCCACAATGCAACTACATATGGGCCCAAGATGTGACTACATATGGGCCCACAGCATGAGTACCTATGGGCCTGCGATGTGACTATGTCTGGGTCAAAGACGTGACAACATTTGGGCCCGGGATGCGACTACATCCGGGCCCATGATGTAACTGCGTATGGGCCAAAGACGTGACTACATATGGGCCTAAGACGTGACTACATATGGGCCCACAACATGAGTACATATGGGCCTGCGATGTGACTACGTCTGGGTTCAAGACGTGACAACATTTGGGCCCAGGATGCGACTACATACGCATGGGTCCAAGTGTGTGACTTATCCATGGGGCCCAAATGGGCTCACCTGCTGCATGGACCCATGTGACAACTGCACATGGTGGGCCCCATGTAACTACATATGCGCACATGTGTAGTCGTGAGATAAGTTCGGAGACGGGGGAGGAGACGTCACGAGGTGAGATGATGAATTAGGAAACATCACTTTCTTGCTTATCCCTCATGATGAAGGATAAGAAGAACTTATCCGAGGACGAATCGTTCTTCTGATCGTGATTCGAACATTGAACCGGATATGGCAAAAAGAGGATGAAATAAGATGACATGCTGTGAGAGCTAAGTTGAGAGAAGAGATGAGGTGAGAGATGAGTTAAGAGAAGAGATGAGAAGACAAGCGATCGTGTGATCGACCCCCCAGTGCAAGATGCGTCAAAATGACTTTTTTATTCATTTTAAAATATTTACTTCTTTTTCTAGCTAAGCTATACTCTTCACTCATTTTTTCCCTCTCACTACCTACCCATCTATGCCAGGGTATATGTCTTGGCTATCCATTCCAGAGAGGGAGGGGGGGGGGGGAAGGGTATGTACAAACCTCCACCCATGCCTAAGCACCATGGGAGGGGAGGACGGGGGGGAGGGGGGGGTAAGCCCTGGCAAGGGATGGCAGGGGCTGTACCGATAGCCCCTTTTTAAATTTTAAATCAAATTGAATGTTGAGGGGGTATGCACAAACCTCCACCCATGCCTAAGCACGACGAAGGGGGGAGGAGGAGGTGGGGGGTGAACCCCTGGCAAGGGATGGCAGAGGCCGTACGGATTGAAAATTTAAATCAAATTAAATGTTGTTTTGTGATGGTCTTACCTCCCAGCATCTTGCCAACCAAAATTAAGCCTGATCGAGGATGCGCTAAGGTAGACCTCAGTAATTGCAATTCCCTGAAAGCGGAATCAGAAAAAAAAAAAAAAAAAAAAAAAAAAAAAAAAAAAAAAAAAAAAAAAAAAAAAAAAAATAAAAAAAAAAAAAAAAAAAAAAAGAAAAAAAAAAAAGAAAAAAAAAAGATCCACAACTGTTGCCGCGTGAAACCCCCCCCAACAAAAAAAAAGCCAAAACAAATGAATAATAAAATATAATAAATATATCATATCATTGACCAGTTCACACCACTTGAGTAGTTGCAACAGCAAAGTCAAAACAGCATGTACACATTGAAACTCCACCGAAAGATATCCAATACACAGCTTAGTTAAGGGTGCAATAATACTCCAGGTAGACCGAACATGCAAGCTGATTGACATTACTCTTGAAGTTTGAATGTGTATATCCCCCTCCAGGTTCGCACTGTCGAATGTTCGGTCTACCTAGAGTGCGACTTGGCTTCACTCACTCCCAAGTAACCCGGGTTACTTGGGAGTGAGTGAAGCCAAGTCGGTTGGAAGTTCGAGCTCTTGAATGTTCAGACTGCCTGGAGTCTAACCCAAGTTGCACTCAAGAGCTCAAGAGGGGGCCTTTTCGCACCTTTTCAAGGCGGGCAATTCCATTGGCAGGTCCCCTGCAACGAGCAGTGGGTTTTCATCCCAAGCGTGGACTCTCCGGGAAATGACAATTATGACATTCAGCGCAACCCTACTCTTCTGGGAAGGAGAATTTCCGGGGCCAGAAGTATCTTGCGGAGGCTATGAAGCACCCCAATTGCGTTGCGTTCGACACTGACGGGCTTTAACCAAACTTGCCACCAATTCATAGAGTGGAGATCATATTAACTACTTGCAAAAAGGGAAAAAAAGAAAAAAAACAACAATAAAACAGCAAGGCAAAAGTGCACATACATGAAATTCCCCCAACATTCCAATTTCAGAAATCTTGAGAAATTTTAGAAATCTCAGCAGAGGAAATTCCAATGCCAGAGTGGAAACCGATGTATGTTCTTTATGCAACCCAGGCTCGCCGGTTTGTGGCATCAGCAGGCCCATATGGACATGCTTAGCCAGGTCGTCCCGTCTGTTTGGGTTGATGTGCTTAGGGCAGCCTTGAAGCCCGCTGTGGGGACATGGTATAAGCTCAGGACAGATCATTCTCCAGAGTGTTTATGGATGGCGAGTTGACTCCCTGGATGCCTTGGGGGAGCCTTGCGCTTCCACATGGCAGATCCAACACGCTTCCTTTTCCTTGGGCCCTCGACTTAGACCGGTTCAACCCTATGTACCATTGCCTGCTTTCCATCTCCTGGTTCCGGTTTGTGTCCTCGATGTTTGTACCCTGATCATTCGCGGCTTTGATGTTTGTCCCTCCCCCCCCCCGCTTATGATCTGCCTGTTGATCCGAGGGACTGGCAGTGGAAGACCACCCGTGCCGCGGGGATGAATGGATCCCCCTATACCGACACTCTACTCAGCTGGGTTACCCCAACTCCCTCGGCCATCTGTTGACGTCAACTGGATGGTGGCTAAGCGATGCATTGCTACAGGTTGGATCGACGATTCGGTGCCTTGGTTGGCGCTCACTTTTTCGCACCATTGGAAGTTGTTGATGATCTCTGTCGTCAAACAAGCGAGCTATTTGTGGCTGCTGGCTGCTCGCCAGGCGGTTCCGGCCGCCCTGTGGTGGACAAGAAGAACATCTAAAGCAAAAAAGTCCTCTTGGTCAGATTAGTCCAGGAAGCCGCATTGAGGACATTCAGCACCTGTGTCTGCACTGCGGCCTTTCTCAGCCCTTTTGGCCGTGATGGCGGGCCTGTGCTCCAGTTCCCCGTCCTGCGGTTTGGTGGACTGGCGCTTTTATTTTGCCGGGATCGGCGGCCAGAAGACGCACCACGTTGTCACCCTTGGCTCAGGCGGAATAAGTACGGCGTGGTGCCATACTTTGGACCTTGTGGACTTTGAGGAACTCCGTGATTTGCCGACACGAGCGGCTTAACTCCGCCCATGGAGGTGAGGTGCAACATCCAGCATACGATTCTTGCAGAGTGAACCTTAATTGAAGTCCAACGGTTGGAATCTCGGGTGCTGGATGAGTTGGTGCAAAGGCTCAGGTGCTGGATGAGTCCGCCACAAAGACTCTGAGGTCGTTTCAGTCATGTTGGTGGCAACAGTTTCAGTCCCGGGTCCGCTGACGGTCGAAACGCCGCGGCGGGCGGCCGCCCAGAGGTCCGGTTTTCGTCCTTCTTTTTGTGATGCTTTCGCCTTGGTCCACTAACTGGGGGGTTTGTACAGCGGGTTGGTAGTGGGTCACTCACTTTAGTTCCTTCCTGCCGCCGGTTTGTACTCAGTTTTAGTTTTTGCTGGCGACGCGAAGAGGTTTTGCTGAATGTTGTACATCCGTGCTTCGCAGCAAGAGACCGACTGTAAGGCTTTCTTTTTGTTTCATACTTTTTGTTATGCATTGGTTGCACGTAGTTTTCGGCTTTAGCTTCTGGTTGACAATTTGCCAATTTGCCCTTGCAAATCACTGTACATATAGATAGATTTCAGTGCTGTACAAATTGCGAATTGCAATGTTTTCTCCTTTTTCGGTAGCTGCTTTTTCGCCGCGATGTGTTTTCCTGCGGCCGGGGTGTACCTAGGTTGCTTTTTGGCTGGGAAGGTCGTTTTATAGATTAGATTGTTGTGCACATACACCGTTGTGCTAGAGATCATGACTTGTCATGTTTCCCTTTTTGGATTGGCTTTTTGTTGATAATGTGGCCGCAAGGCTGCAGATATGGACCGGTGCGAGACTGCCAGTCTCCGCCCTCTGGGTGGGTGTTTGTTGTAGTGTTACATACTTCAATGAGTATGGGCAGAACCAAAGATCAACCAATATAGGATGAGCATTTATGCAGCGGAAGTCTGATAACAAACTGACTCACATAGACTGACTCACATAGTCTGACCTACATGGCATCACTCCACACACATACAATCATGAGATGGTGGGGTCTGGGTCATTCATAGACGATACCCAGATCCCGTACACACATACACAGATGAAAGGTGGGAGGAGAGACGAAGGAGG